AGCAGGAAGAGAACTGAAATCTAGAGGTGTTTCCATTTCACAAGTTATTTCAGAAGTTCTTGCATTTCAAGATGCTTGCCAGTGCAAAGCAGTACACGAAGTATATTCCCACTCGTCAAGAGTTTCTTTTGCTCTGCATCCAATCCAGTGACAACATATAATCTGTACTCATTCCATTTATTTTACTTTGTAGCTTGTTTTGTTTTGTTTTTGGGTTTTTTTTTTTTTTTTTGCATTAGCATTAGGTGGTGATAGAACCACAGCACGGCATTCAAAGTTCTGCTTTATTTTTCCGATTTCAGCAGGGCTACCACATTAGGATTGAACAACAGGCATTGGAGGTATGCAGAAGGGTATACTGAGGCCCCATTAACAGTGGCTGAAAGGTAGAAGGTACATCTTTTCTATGGTTATTGTTTCTGCACTTACCGAACCTGTTCCAAAGCTTCCCACAGATGCCACTTGTTACCATGAGAACCACATCCACCCTTGTTCCATGGCAAAGCAAAACGGGTTCTGAAGGACTGGCCCTCATCTCTCTGTTGATTTGCGCACCGCATTCACATGGCACAATGGAATTGTCCATGATGCACACATGGCTTAAGCAGTGGGCTGTTCGTTCCACATGGCACAGAAAGGCCAGCTCTTTCTCCTCTTTGCTTCACATGAGACCACAAGAGAATTGCATTTTAATAGATTTAATATTTGTTTATAATGAGATGGGTCAGCATCAGTCTGAATAGAACCCCATGGGTGGATTACAAGCAAGCTTAAAGCAGTATTTAAGAAAAAAAATTAAGTATTAAGTGAAAAAAAGAGTGCTAGGATGTCACTTAGGGAGCAGGACAGCTGGATCCTCTGCTTCCAAGTCCATTCAAGAAGTATTTAGTATGGCCATTTTTGGGTTGCTAGCTAGCTTCCTGTCACACAAGTGGTCATTCTTACTAGGCTGCACTGGAGTTGAATCATGGCATAGTTTACTGTACTTTTGGTTTTAAAATAAAATCATTTTGTCTGTAGCTTACATTTTGAGCTCTGTAAATGAGTCACCTTGGGAGACCTTTGAACTGAGAGGTGACACAGAAATAAAATACTGTGCTGGGCATGTTTACTCAGATGCTCCACTGTGCTTCATAGCAGTTATTCCCCAATATGATCAGGAGTGAAGCCTTAAGAAGCAATTTACACAGCATTTCAGATGGGTGAGCAACAAGCAGCTCCTGATATTTTAGCTTACAAGCCACTCACCCCCATGAGAGCTGTAGGGCAAAACATCAAAAAGGGCATCTCCTAGGTTCATTGAAGAGACGAGACCTGAACCAGCCTTTCTGAGCTTCACTGCCAAAGCTTTTAGCTGCTGTACCACACCAGTGAAAGATGGCATCAGGCCTTCTGAAAATGCCATGTCTGCACCAATGCTGCATAAAAGCATCTCCCAAAGAGACATGCCAACAGTGCAGCCGTTTCGGGAATCCTGCAATTTGTGGGTCTGCCTAGGAGCTACCGGCATATGTTACTCATTTCCACAAGTGTTTGGGTGCACATTCAGACACAGGACTAATTCACAACAAAAACAGCTAACAAGCAACATGCAAAATCAGCCTTTCGCCTTCTGCCAACATCTTTTCATACCTCAAGTCTCCTTCTGGTGATGGAAAAATTGTGTAACTTGTAAACAAAACCAGTCATAGATTAACACTTAGTACAGAACATATGCTACATTCAATGCAGAATTCACCTCTCTGAAGGCTAAAGCAACAATTAAAAGCCATGTGTTAGAAGGTAGTTAGTCTTCTCACTGGCTACATAAAGCTTCAGCTAAAGCCAATTTGGAAAAGGTTAGAAAGGAGGGTGGATACTCCACAGAGATGAAGACTGAGACAAAGTAGCAGCATCACCCCAGGCCAAATGAACATATTGGCATGCTTTAACATAATAGATCGAACTCACTGGAGTGCCTCTTCCAAAGTCTTGACAAAGGACTGTGCTTACTCTACAGATCTGGATATTCATGTATGCAAGAGCAAGGTTTTTAGAAGAGCTAGAAGGAAAATTCTCTGTGTGACTATTGAATGTTCCTAAATATCTACTTCATTTGAACTATGCTCCTTACTTTCTTCCACTGTCGGAGTAAATGAACTTCCAGGAAAGCTAAATGCCAAGACTTATCCAGGATCCAAGGGACATGAACCAATTCCCCCATTGCCACAGTTGCTGCACTGGGGGACATCTCTCGGTATGGCCTCATTCACACCTCCTAAAGAGGAGTCATTCTAGTCTAATGAAACTGAGTCTTGTGGCACTTTAAAGGCTAATAAATTCATTATGACATAACTTCTCACATAATCCAGCCCATGAAAGCATCTGCTTACAGTGAAACTGCCACAAGCCTCTTTGTTGCTTTCACCTTCATATTGAGGTTTCTGTATTTATTGATTCCAGCGTTTAGTTCCTGCCTTTATATGCAGAATGTTTAAGAACAGAATAGCAGCAGAGTTGGAATGGGCCTATAAGGCCACTGAGTCCAATCGCCTGCTCTGCTTCCACTGGTGGCCACCCATCTGGCTGCAGGCTCATGACTTTCCAGCTTAGCAAAGGTGGCTCAACAAGCTAGCAACTGGGTACAGATATGTAGGCAGGTTGCATACTATGTAATCTCAATCATGGGAAGAATCACATGCAGAGAAGCAACTGTTCAAGTGCTTGAATCAGCTCTGCATTCCATATTCTGCAAAGCACCAAATCCAAAATACAAACATGGTACCATAGTTCAGATTTTCCTTTACCAACTCATATGGCATTTCAAGAACAGAGTGGCTTTTTCCCAGGGCTCCAGCAGTGGGCCTCTCTGCCTACAGTTGTTCATTTTAAGAACCCCACACATACAACATCGGTAGAGCAAAGAGCTTGCCCCTGCATTCCAGTGCTATGCACCCACTCATGCAGCTTCTGTGCATAGGGAATGGGTGAACACTTTTAAAGTTTTTGCAAGTTGCTTAAGAATGTTGCCTACAGTCCTTCTGACATGTCAAGCTGCGATCCTATGCAGATCTACAGATGCTTAAAGCAAGCGGTAGCAGTGGGCTAAGGATCACCTACAGCCTAATATCAAGCCAAAGTAATTTTTGATCCCTAAGAAAAAGAGAGTTGTCCAGGAAACCATTATCAGATGTGACATCTTCCATATTCTCATGCTAATTAGGAGGAAGTATGAAACAGACATCAGATGCATGGGGGAAAGGAGAAATATGAAACTGAGCATTGCATAATACATCATGCAGACACATGCAGGGACAGGGAATACATGTACACACCATCTTGGGTTTGTACTGTGACAAAAAGGAACATGCTTTTATTGGCTTCCAAGATCTTGCAGAAAGGATGTTAGTGAAGAGCAAATAATGTAGCACTAGATACAGAATATTTTCCTGAAGAGCCAGCAGGTCAACTTGGTACACCACTGTAAGTGATCCGCAATGTATTTTGCCCCTTACAAATGCACATGGAAAGATGTCAATGAGCTGGCCACCTCATTCCCATATAGACATGTTTTAGGCAAAGGCCTGCTTCTTATACAGCACAGTAGTACCACAGATGTGTGGCCCCCACCAGTGGACACACACTTGGAAAACATGGGGACTGGCTAAGGAACTAAACCTCGAGAGGGGCATTTTGACCTTCTAGAACATGGGTCCTCAAACTATGCCCTGCGGGCTGCATTCAGCCCACCATGCCCATTTATCTGGCCTGCCTCAGAAGTTTTAGGCTTGCTCGAAGAAAACCATCTCTGAGCAAGCAAGCCGCTGTCTCGCTGCGCACATGCCTGCAATTGTGCCCATCTCCCCCCCCCCGTGCCAAGCATGCCTGCAATTGCACCCATCTATCCCCCAAGCGTGCCCGGGATTGTGCCAGTCTTCCCCCCCGTGCGCCCACAATTGCACCAGTCTCCCCCACCCGAGAGTGCCCGCCGCCTTTCAACTGGCCCCCTGTTGAAAAAGTTTTAGGACCCGTTGTAGAACAAGAATAAAACTGCACAAAAAACAGGAAATCACCAACAATGGTAGGGAGAAAGGATTGGAGCCAGGGTGAGGGGGTATCACCATCTGGGAGACCCCACTGCACCAGACAAGGACCCCTGGCCTAAGGCTCCTCAGCCCTTGTGTAGGAGTCCTGCCAGTATGGGGGCCATCAGATGGGAGAGCGCTGTCCATTCAGCCTCACCTCAGTGCTTGTGATGTTCCACAGTGATGCAGAGCTGCACTGTAGGGAAGCAGCCCCCAGAGGGTCACATCTATGTGTGTGTGTGGTGCACAGGAGCAATGTTACCGAGATAACCCATTTTGCAGGCCCTTTGCACTTTGGGGCTTGCCCTGACACAAGGCACAGTAGGGCTTAATTCCATAGCCAAACTGCTGGGACATTATCATACATTAAGAACATTTTTTTCTGAGCACCTGCTGAGTGCCTACACATAACTACCAAGTGAATATCATCAATTTGGATATTGATGGAAATAGGTGGAAGCATTTCTAGGGCAGAGATTGTTTAGTTTTAGTCAGGTTCAAGCAAGGCACTCTCTTTTTAGAGATACTCATGTCCTCTTTCCATTGGGATCACTTCAAATGTAACCAAAATTGTAAGGCTGGAGCAGGAAGAGGCAACCTTTGGGGCCTGTGGGCACATCTGGGCATTTGAGAAACTGCTCTGGGCACAACTGTAAAATGGCTGCCAGAGGTAGGCATTTCTGGTCACAAAGGACAAGTAACCAGCCCACAGTTATTCCTGACAAATTAAAAAGTCAGTGGTGTGAGGCTCCAGTACATTTCAATCTAATCCCAGTTACCAATAAGAAAATATAAAAGTATTTTTAAAGGAGCATTGAGTAGTTTAAGGTGCCTTGGTGGAAGGTGTCTGCAGGCATATTAGTGCCTCTCCATGGGCCAGGTGAATGACTCCTCACATGCTTTTGCTACTCAAACAAAGACAATAGACTCGAGTTCTTCCTGGAAACAGAGACAATTGACGGATTTCTTTTATTTCAAATACATACATGATGTGATCTGCTAAGCAGCTGGCCACTGTGCATTCTTCCTCAGTTCTAAGGCACATGTGAGCTGAGAGGCAGAATTTTAAGTCCACCAAAGAAGAAAGACAATTAAAGGATCTTTTTCAGAGTCATTTTCATAAAACACAAACATGATGCAAAGTAATTGATTAGCAGAGCCAACCGATTCATGTCTACTCTAAAGTAAGTTCAGTGGGTCTTGCTCCCAGGACAGAGGGTATAGGCTTGCTGCCTACACAAATAGCAATTTGGGGTGTTCTATTTGAAATCTGAAGATGCATCTGCTGAAAATATTTCTCCCTTGAAGAAATCAATTGCCTCATCTTTGTTCAGCTTTTGGAATTCCTGGTAATGAACCTCAATAGAAAAGAAAGTAGAAACTGTCAGTTTTGAGTCTAAGGAGGCTGTGTTAACAATACGACATCTCTGAATGGTCACTGTAATTATTTTATACACTTTAAGCTTTAACTCAGTTATGAGCCTGCATTTTTCCACTGCCCTATCCTCCAACCACACTGCATGCGCATATTCATTCTATACCATTATGCACTATTACCTTCCACCTTAGGGTAATACTTCATGCATTTGATGAAATGCACTCTGACCCACAAAAGCCTGTGCCAAAATACAGGGCTGGGCAACTTAGAAGGTTGCAGGGACTGTAGCAGACTCTGGAATCTACACCCATCCCCTGCCAAAATGGGCAAAGGTGGCCATGCAGCACTGCTCCCATCCCGCCCACTACAGGTGTGTTGGTCTGTAAGGGGAGATAACATACCTGCTCTTCCTGTAACACGGTGGTGTGACTACTGCTCTGAAAAAATTAAGATTACTATATTTGAGCCACATTGTTAGCTGCCAGAAGCTATGTGAAGCCCATGAATATAGGAATGAAGAGATATAAAATAAGTGAGCTCTCATATCCACAGTGGTACATTTTACTAGATTATTATTATTAGCTCTAACATTAATAACATCATTAACACCACCATTAAGGCATTTTAAGTGTATGCCTGCCTTCCCATTTCCTACATAATATGCAAAGTCCAGATTTCCTGTGCATCATTTGTCTATCACAGGATTCTGTGGTGTAACAATACCCTTCTGGCTTCTCTTACCAGGATCACACGATAGCCCAGAAGACGCAGGTGTCTCATCTTCATTGCCAGCTTGCCACGGGGATGTTTTGACTCAACACAGAGGGCAGAGGGACGAGCACACAGCACAGCTACCCTACAACCAACAGCAATAGAAATGAAACTAAGTGCATGTGTCAAAGATATGCTACAACAAGGTTTGGTTTTTTGCAAAGTGACACACAATTCTTTACAAAAACAGTTCAGCTTCTGTAAAATACCTGTGTTTGTACATGGCTACTTTCCTTTCCCCTTTTGGTCTCCTTCCCATCTATATATGTGTTATGCTAAAATGATATTTAAATAATGCTTGGGATGTTTGCTTGCTTGCCATAAAAAGTCTTTCACTACTGCAGAGTAGCAAGAGATGGTTGAAATCTTTCAAACAGGATTTTAGGGGGTCCCCATTTCCATAACAGCAGGTCAGGTGGAGGCAGGGGACAGTAAAAAGCCGCCTTCAGCAAGCAGTTCTGGGTTTTTTAAAAAATTGTTTACAAAAGCATCCACCCTAGCAAGAAAGTTCCATTGACACCTTATTCCATAATACAGAGCCATTTTGTGGTGGTATAAAAGGCAGTTAATCACATTGCCAATTGGGCCAACAAAGCCAAAAAAGGTTGCCTACCCTGGCCTTGACCATATATCTTAACTACTTAATAACTACATCACAGCCTTACATATAAATTCCATCAGGATAGCTAGCAATAGAAAAGCAATTAAGGAAATAGAGCACGGGTCCTCAAACTATGACCCGCGGGACGGATCTGGCCCGCCATGGCCATCCATCCGGCCTGCGCCGCCGTTTACCGCCTGTGCGGGTGGGGAGGTGGTGGCTCGCTTGATCAGATATGGTCTCCGACCGAATGAGCAAGCCCCCGCTGCGTACCTCCCATACACGTGCGGGGGGGGGGGGTGGCTCGCTCGATCAGATATGGTCTCTGACCGAATGAGCAAGCCCCGCTGCGTACCTCCCATACACGCGCGGGGGTGGGGGGAGGTGGTGGCTCGCTCGATCAGATATGGTCTCCGACCGAATGAGCAAGCCCCGCTGCGTACCTCCCATACACGCGCGGGGGTGGGGGGAGGTGGTGGCTCGCTCGATCAGATATGGTCTCCAACCGAATGAGCAAGCCCCGCTGCGTACCTCCCATACACGCGCGGGGGTGGGGGGAGGTGGTGGCTCGCTCGATCAGATATGGTGTCCGACCGAATGAACAAGCCCCCGCTGCGTACCTCCCATACACGTGCGGGGGGCGGGGGGGAGGTGGTGGCTCGCTCGATCAGATATGGTCTCCGACCGAATGAGCAAACCACCACTGCGTACCTCCCATACACGTGCGAGAGGTGGTGATGGCTCGCTCGATCAGATATGGTCGCCGACCGAATGAGCAAGCCCCCGCTGCGTACCTCCGATACACTTGCGGGGGCGGGGGGAGGTGGTGGCTCGCTCGATCAGATATGGTCTCCGACCAAATGAGCAAGCCACCACTGCATACCTCCTATACACGGGTGGGGGGGGGGGAGGTGGTGGCTTGCTCGATCGCCACCGCCATCTGCCTCCCATAAGTGTGCCCATGCCGCTGCCTCACAGCACGGGGAGGTGGTGGCTCTCTAGATCAGAGATGGTCTCCGAGCGAGAAAGCCACTGCCGCGCATGCGTGATGCCACCTCCTGTGCACCCAACGGCACCTCACCAGCCCACGCTCCCAGGCACCCCCACCTCACGGGCTCGCACATGTAGCTGCAGCCCTTCAACTGGCCCCCTATCGAAAAAGTTTGAGGACCCCTGAAATAGAGCAAGGAGAATTAAGACAGCCATTTTAAAGGAAAAGCCACCCCAGCAACACAGTTACAGTGAGATTCATCCACTGTTTGAGAAGGCCTCAGATGAGAACAGCTTCACCTGGCTTCAAAACTTCAGAACAGAAGACAGCAAGCAAGTCCCCAGGGAGAAAAATACATAAGTGGAGAATTTCTGTGAAGGGAAAGGCCCTTAGCAGTCCCCAGCCACCTAAATTTGGAGGGCAGGAACACCCACAGAAGTGTTCTTGTTGTAGTTGTAATATCCTAGGAGGTATATACGCGAAACGTGCCTCCTGGTCCAGAGTCCAAAGCTGTACCAGGCTTAAAAAGGTAAGGACCAGTAGTTTGAATTATGCTTGGAAAGAGAAAGAAAGAATCACATATACACATTGAAGTGACCTTGTAAAATCATAGAGAGAAGCCACAGAGTGAAATATTCATCCGTCATTATGACTAATATGCCTACGATATGTAGCTTCATGGCCACAGGATCAAACAAGAACAATGAAACATCCTAAGTTTATATTATTTCATTTATTTTTGGGATTTATAAATTGCACCAATAGTCCTAAATAGGGCTTTCTGTTCCTAGTATTAAACAGTGAATGGTATTGCTGAACTGACCATAGTGTGCAAAGTTTCTCCCCTATGTATTCGGATGAACTCAGCATCTGCACAGTCTTTTTCTTCTTACAATTTAAATCAATGGTACAAATAAGACTACCTATAAAAAGCTTGCTACAGCCAATCTAATCCATGTGTACTTGGGTTAATTCCTTTCCAGCATACAGATGACTTTATATGTCTTCCAGTGTATGAGCCTCCCTGGCCTGTATGGCTGTATGAAATTCTCATCTGCCCCAAGCAACTGGGGAAATGTGTAGCTTTTAAGATTGTGTTGATACCTCTGCAACACAAGTAACCCAAACTAAGGCAAGGAGTGCTCTGCAGATCTCTCACAGACATTCTTCATTTCAGCAGAATCTAATGGACTACTTCACTGAAATACATGGCTCACTCAGCAAATAGGTTAGTTATTAGTGTCTTTGCCAGTTGAGAAAGCTAAACAGCTGTGGCTGGCAGAAAGCCCAAACAGCAAAAGAAAACCTATACTAGGTAAAGGTACCTTTGAATTTTAGAATCATCCGGTAACAACTCTGCTTCAGCATTTGAAATTACTATTCCCCTATTTACATCCATTAAAATTTCAAAATCTGAAAAAAGAGAGGCAAAATAGTGTTACAAGATAGTGTTTTATTCAGGAATGTAAGAAAGAGAATGTGTAAGAACAACAGGTTTCCAAGGACAGTTACACCAAAATGGTAAATTTCTCTTGAAAAATAATTTACTACTAAATAATGTGAACTATAAAGCATGTTGAGTAAAAGGAGGTTTTGCTGTACAAATAAATAGCTGATTTAAATGACAGATCTCATTTCAGGGTCTCAGTTTTGGGGGGTTTATTTTTGTTTGTGACTTTTTTCTCTGTGAGGGCACAGCTAAGCCCATGCAGAATGAATCAGAAAGAAGCAACATCGATGGGAAGGCTACATTGCCAGGGTTACAGGTGCTTATGGGCCGGTCCCATCCTTGAGCACATCAAGTGTCCTGGGCACTGGTCATTAGACAGCCTTTACACAGGACAGACTTACACTCCCCTCCTTGCTCAAAAAAGAAATGCATACAAAGTAAATGCAGTATGACAAATACATGCAGGGCCTGGTTGTAAAGGTGAAACAGTACAACCACATAGTTGTAGATCAATATGGTTAAGTTGCTGACTTGTGCCACTGCTTAGGAAATAAATGGGAAACCATCAATGGGAAACCTGATTTAAAGCAATTATTCCAATTTTTTCCTTGTTGCTTTGCACACTGAATTAGAACTGCCATCAGAAAATACTGCAATGACTACATAGAACATCCTCAGCTGATTCTATTGCAACTATCAAGGGCCCTATGATTTTAGGCTCCTTCTGGAATGATACCTACAGAGAAAATATTCCTGTTTTCACACTAAGACCTTTATAGGTCCAGTTCACATATAATTGCTCACGACACACTGTACTAATGAGAGGAATGACTAGAACTGATACATACAAAATAAGACTGTATCTATAATAACTTATCAAATCAAATGGAAAGACCACAAATTGAATTAACTCAACCTTCAGGAAGGCTCTACCTGGATTTTAACAGGCTCTTCACCTGCAGAGTGGCTCAATTAGAGAGCACTTCGCAAAAAAGCTCGTTTTTTCACAGCAATGGCACTACTTCAGCCTGACAAAGCTGCAACTGCTTAACTTCCATGCAAGCTGTGCCTCCTCAGTGCTCCTAGCTCCTCTCTTCCCACTCCATCTATTTCACACCTTCTAAATCCATCCATTATTCAAGGCAGCAGGTAGCAATGATGTGACATCCCATACCTATGTTGTAGCCATGAGTCTCCTGGACGTTTGACTGAAACAGACTTCTGTCTCCCAAAAGTGTAAGCAGCACCTCCTCAACATCAGGATGAATTAATGCAGAGCCTGAGGGTGGCTTATCTACTGGTAATGTTGTTGGTGCAATCAAAGAATGGCCATCAAGCTGCAGGCAGACATTCACCGTGTGCAGCATCATTTTATTTTGCTCAATATTCTGCTCACCTGAGAAAAAGAAAAGAAAGAGCAGCATGACTATTGAACAAATGCTAAAATGCACAGGTTTTCTAGACTACTCCTGCAACACGCACATTGCACAGCAATTTGCTTCAAAAGCAATACCGCAATACCTTGTAATACTGTGAAAGAGACAGTGGGCTTTTCATGCACTGTTTTCGAATGAAAGTCTTACACAGTATTAACCTTGCATACGCAAAGAATGCAAGGGGAACCATAAGGCCCTGACTTTGATTTAAATAAGATTATGTATCAAAATGAGCTTCTGACCTGATGTTAACAGATCGTTGATAATTTCCTGTTGCAGTAGCTGATTAACTGCAGGCTGGGGAAGGTATCCCAAAATGCAAAATGAATATATAGCCCTCAGTAAATTCACATTAGAGATACTGGGGAGGTGGTTGGTCAAGACATCATTCAGAACCTCAAGGAACCTAGGAGAGTGTGGGCAGAGAAACATTGTCACTCACAAATAATTTACCAAACCAGAGACCCTTTGTTACCGCTACAGTTACAAGGCCAAAAAGGACTCCAACAGCATCTTAAAAACTAATTTATTCTTGCATATGCTTTCATGGACCCGGCTGACTTCAACAGATATGAAGGTGCAGCATTCGTGAAAACTCATACCAGGATAAATTTGTGAAGTCCTTCGAGTGCTTTCTTGTTTTGCAATAGACTAACATAGCATCCCTTTGGAAACCACCACTATGGCACAAGCCTCTCTGTCTGTCTGTCTGTCTGTCTCTGTCTGTCTGTCTCTGTCTCTCTCTCTCTCTCTCTCTCACACACACACACACACACACACACACACAGAGGTGGGGAATGAGTAGCCCTCCAGTTTGCTGCTTTCTTTGCAGCTCCCATCCTCCTACTCCACTGACTGTCTTGGCTACAGTTGGCAGGAACTGCAGTACATGAACATCAGGACAGCCCCATGTTCCCCAACCGATCCATTCATTTTCTGTGCAGCCCCACAGCCAAAGCTCTCCAGGCAGTTCACAACAGCATCTTTAAAAAACAACATATACCATTGAAACATTTTAAAAACATCTTAAGTGTTGGTAATACAAAACTTAAAACCAAATAGGGAGAATACAAGGTAGACATTTGCAGCAGCTGATTACTTGCCTCTGAACTTTATTATTTTTTTCCAGAGAGACAGAATCCAATTTGGTCAAGGCCAGATTATCAAACAGCCCAACCAAGTCCCAGCCTAGAATTCATGGTTTTCACAAGATGATTTTGGTATTTCTATTTTTTTTCCTCTTAGCAAAATTAAAGTTAGAGTATCTCTTCAGTGGCCTGCCTCAGACCTGTGATTTTCATAATACAGTTCTGATTTTGAATATGATGCTAGCACTGAAGGGTTGTGTTGAGACTTCCAGCAATTTCAGGTTGTTTGTGATGAAAAAATTTGAGAGCCCATGGCTAGGCCACCACCGTGGCAGAATTCCATAGGTTAACTTAGTGGCAATTTAAATACTACTTCTAGATGACTATATTTTACTGAAACTTCCATGCAACAGAACAATAAGTTCTCAAAGCCAGAACCTACTCCTGATGTTGACCTTTGGGGATGTGATTGAGAAAAGAGTAGAACCGCAGAACAGAGATAATCTCCTTCATAGACAAGGATCCAGGATGAGATATCACTTTCTCAGCAAACTTATCCATCAGATCAATTGGTTGAAAGCCAAGATTCTCAAAGGCCGAAATAAACTGGAGTATCTGAAATCAAAAAGGGAATCTACACATTTATTCTGTCAAGACAAATGTTTTTAAAAGAGCCTATATGTATGAAATAAATGCAAACTTTCCCCATTTACCACTGTGTTCTTTGCACACCCTTTCTTCTGCTATAAAGCTCATAAATTGTAGATCTTGTACTCTGAAAAGTACTGTGGACTCTAATTCTAAATACTAGACTACAGTGGTCTGGCTAGTAAACACCAGTTAAATTAGTATTACAATGCAGCTGTCCTTAAAATTAGTGACCGAAAAAAAGTTGGCATACAATGTGGCACCAAGCCTGGTGCCCAGGGCTCAATACTGGGAATCTATTACCTTGGTGAAGTGGCTTCCAATTGGTTTCCAGGCCCAAATCTAGGTGGTGATCAACATCCTAAACAATCCAGGACCAGGATACTTCACCCACATGAGCCTGTCTACACTACATTCTTCACTTCCTCTGCAGAACCAGAGAAGAGATATGGGATAGGATCCTTTTTACTGTGACAAGCACATGAGGCAGTTCAGGAGACCCTGATGGCCCCACTCTCATGGTGTTTAGATGCATTGTGAAGACAGGCTCATTTCACCAAGCATTTGGTCTGCCATGATTTTTGTTCTACTGTTTAAATATGGTTTAATGACCATACCAATATTAATGCATTCTCATTGTTTCATGCCATTGTACTTTAAATTTATTTTATAATTTTGAGCTGCCCTTAGGCTCTATTAAGGCTGACTTACAAGGCGCAAGTGTTTCTATCCTTTCAAGACATAGCACTGCCCCGCACAGAAAAACAACAGCTAGACAGTGAGAACCAGTCTACCTGATTGTGACTTTACAGGATAATTTGAAAAATGGCTTGAGCAAGTAACTTTATTCTTGTTGTAAATGAATTTCAAAAATAAGCTTCTTAAAGGACACCCCTACAGGGAGGTTTAAATTCCTGACTTGCCATTTCTGAATTTTCTGATGTGGTAAAGCAATACGAATATAACCTTTCCCCCATCTTAATCATCATACTACTAAAATTTCATAAGAAAAACTGATCCTGCCATTTCTGAGCTTCCTTAGAGCCTTAAGGAACATGGTTTGACCTTTTTATACGAACCTTCCCCAACTTGCTGCTCTCCAGATGTGTTGGACTACATTTCCCATCATTCCTGACCATCAGATAACAGCCATGCTGGCTAGAGATGATGGGAGATACAGCCCAACACATCTGGTGGGCAACAGGTGGTGGGAGGCTGATTGTGAGAGTAAAAGAAGCTCCCTCTCTGCTCACTCGAATGCTGTAATATGGCTCCCAAAATTCTTACAGCCTGTTGTTACACTGCTTTTCTAGAGAAAAGGCAGGGAACAGCTGTTGAGTCTGCCCAGGAATTACTCCTTCCGGGGGACTGGTTAATGGCAAGTGTACTATAATAAAGAAATGTGCTCATTCAAAGTTCTCTTTTACAAGTGTTACACAAATCTGTGGTAGTAGTTCAAAAATAGAGTATCTGGAAAAGAACTGCACTGCAGAATCAATAAATCCAAAGGATGTGCTACAGTTTAGCAGAGTCCTTTTTGCTACATGGGCCTACCAAAGATAACAGATATCGCAGGACTACAGCAGACAGACTGGACTGTAGCTTGTAACTTAACCTCCAAGTTGCAGTTATGTGAGATAGCAATAAGGAGCTCCAATAGCAACAAGCACTCAGAATTTAGGGTTTACAAAAGGCAGTTTTAGACTGTAACTAGAGGCTAAAGCTAGTCCCACATTTCTCACCATAAATCCAGCTCAACTGCATGAAAATTGTTATCCCAAACTTTACCTGCTTTGTGTCCCACATAAAGAAGGCTGCTACATAATTGGCAATTGCAGCATAAAGTTTAACATTGCGGTAGACAAGTTTTCTGCAAGATCTCAAAACTTCCAGTAGTTGAGAAAATGAAGTCCCATGGATATGCTCTAATACACATAAAAAGGACGAGAAGAAAAATAAATGTGGTAAATATGTTGACAAGCTGCCTGAGATGTTATGCAAGTAAAGACATCTGTGTGTTTATTTTGTAAAAAAAATTGCCACATTAATGGACAGCAAAACTCCAGGATAAATTCAACTGGCAAAACCAAAGAGCTGTTTATTGTAACACATGGCAACAGTCCTACTCCAGCAGATTTTTTTCTTTGAACAGCTTTTATGCTGTATTACGAAAGGGCGCATTCACACATTATGACAAAACACCAATAAGCCATAGGTTGTGCCCAAACAACCTATGGTGTACCCAGCAGACAACTGGATTCACTAAGGGATGTTTGCCCCTTCTGCCCTGTTGTTCTGTACCAAAGGCATACCAAGGATTATCTGACTGTCCAGCCAGCTTTTGTGATGTCCAAAAAAAGAAGGTTAACAGGACCAAAAGCTGCACTGAACTATCACACAGCAAGACATCCAGTCAGTGCCAGTCACCTCCACATGTGGCTTGAGAACTTGTGGTGCAGCCAGGTGCTGAGGCAGGCTTGGCAAGAGTTTTTGCCAGGTGAGTTGCCAGGTGAGTTGTACTCCCCAATATGTACTATAGGTTCAGTGGTCCACCTAAAGATAACCTGAGGACCCACTGCAGGTACAATAACTCCTAGAACAACCTACAGGTGGTCAAGGTAGCTTAATGCCCTCAAACCAGCCACCCTGTGGTAATCAGTCTGGGTTCACATGGCATGACAACCCATTATGGGTAACAACCCACAATGGGTTGTTTCGCTTTGCAAGCCCATTTTGTAATCTGGGTTTTAAACTTTAGTTACAAAAACTGTTTGCAACGTAATAGTTGGGACCATTAAAAATACTGATGTAAACTCCTCTCTGGCTAACAGAAGATGCCAAGCCATTCTTAGAATCCTGACTCATAATTTTTTCTGTTTCTTAGTTAATCACTCTGGTCTCTACTGTATCATGCCCATTCATTATCCTTTTTCAAATATAAAAAACAATTGGATACAAAGCTGTTGTTTTGGAAACAAGCACAACTCTCACTGATGGTGCATCTAGTTTATAAATTCATCAGATTTAACTTTTTTAATCTCAGATTTTAAAATTTTATAGGTTTTTAAATTTAATTTTAAAAAATTAAATCTCTAAAATTTATAAACTGGATGTACTATTGCTAGTTGTTTTGGTAGTACTGTATGATGTACACTGCATTGCCTGCATATCTGTTAAAATCATACTGAAATGATGTGGAAAGCGTATATAACTGGACACATGCACTACAACTTACCTATAAATCTGTCACTACAGGCATTCAGGATTGAAGAAGAACGAAAATTTATTTCCGCTAGCACATTGAACATGAAATGAGTATTCGTATGAGTAAATCGATCCATCTGATTCAAAAGCTTCTTCTAAAATTAAACAGAATTAAATTCAACTGAAATTGAAGGTTGATGAGATACTTGCCTGCTGTCACAGGAAGAGGCAAGAGAGTTTTTTTTTAATCGCTAAGCCTTATATGAGCAGATACAATCAAATAACTAATAAGAATCTGAGACAATACTCAACTAGTCCAGTTTTCATCAGGATTAAAACAGGTGTCTATAGCTGAATATTTGTTCTCAATTTCCCTTATATTTCTACATGGAAACAGACAGCATGAAGTAACAGCTGTAACCACTTTTTTAAATTAACAAACATTCCTACCAGCAACTAGGAAAATTTCAAAACAAAGTGAGGTGAGCTAGTGTGTGAGAGAAAGAGACGGCAGGGACAGAGATAATGGGCAGGAGATGGAAAGAGAAAGAAGTTTATCTTTTCTAAACCAGCTTTCTGTTGAGGTTAAAAACTGTAGGTTCCAAGGAGTTCTTTAGATGGTTGAGGTCAGACCCCACCTCTGCTTTGAACTCAGTCAGTATGGCAGGTTACCTGTCTTTTGTGACCAGCAACTTCTCCATGGTGGCTATTTTGTCCTGACCAGTCTCTCAAATTGCTAAATGGGCATCCTTTTTCAGCCCATGGTCACATCTCTACATTGGGGACCTTATTGTAGGATAAGCTTTCAGTCAGGGGATGACTTATATACCAATTCCAATAATTAGGTACAGTGGAGAATGAAAAATTCCCATATTTTACCTCCAGTTTTGTCTTAAGGGACAGTGATGCGTCTTTCCCAACAGACTTCAAAATGGTTTGCAAAATAAAAATATCTGAGATTTTTGGCAATCGTTGCTCCACAAGTAACCTAACAAGAAAGGGGATTCAATTAGCATGGAAAAAGAGCACAAATTGGGCATAACCTCAATTGCTGTTCGGGATTTTGTATTAAACAATGGCATAAGAACTTTTAGGTGATGTATACTCTCTAGCTAAAAGGAAACACACTCTTTCGAAAACATTAGGCTAACTGAAATAAACAATCACTCATTTTACAAGCCTGCTGCAGATGTAATAGCCACATACTGGAGAGGGGCCATTTTGCTGTCGGTGACAGCAGCAACTGTCTATGGAGTTATTGCAGTTCCTGCCATCAACTTGATGCTGAGGGTCATTTATCTCATTCAAATGTGACAGGCAACACACAGGCATAAGGAGGCGGGGGATATTGGAGCACTGACTCAGTCCCCCACTACATGTAGGCTCTGCTGAGTTAGACCCATGCCTGCACAGGCTTTCCGTACTGCTGAAATCAAACCTATGACTGAAGCATACCTCCTCCTTTACCCAATCTATGATTTTGTGTCCAAAGCTGCCAACAGGGGAATTGCTATTTGAACTCTGGAACTGAATTAAAAGCACCTTGGTTTTGCCCTGGACCACCTTCCTCCCTACTTCAAGGCATAAACTGTAATAATACATAGAGAAGCTTCAATGGTCCTGGTGTTCACAAATAGGGCTTAAAAATTCAGTAGCACCCGAGTTACTGAAATGGAGCTGGAGGCAGGGTTACGTTTTCTCCTGCATGTGCTGCTGTGTGGAGAGCAAAAATGCTTAATTCCTAATCTGTGGCATGAACTATGCACTGTAGGAAGGGCTCCCAAATCAGAAGTTATGAGTTCAAGGTAGACTTTACCGTGTTTTCAGGTAAAAATGGCAGCAAATGTTCTAATTCTCTCTTCATAGCTGAGAGTAGATCAGAAAAGAAGGAAGCAACCAATACTTGAGCCCAAGACAAGTTCACACAGCACTGAACTTAGCTCTGCTCAAAATTATGCAAGTGATACTTATTTCTGAAATAGTTTTTGCTTTTATTCACAAACCAACACTATAATAAACACCCCCACCCCCACTCAATTTACATCTGACAGTGCTGCCGTATTCCATTCCAAATCTGTACTGGTTTACACAAATATTCCAATCTTATGAGGCAATACTATACAAAACCTATAAAGAATCAAGGTCCTTTTCTTACAGTAGTCCAGCTTGAAGGGCTTCCACATTCTTGCATTTTTCCATTACTTGCAAAGTGCTTGCAACAACTGAGAGACTTCGGTCATTGAATTCATTGAGACGTTCCTATCCAAAGCACAAGAAAATCCAAGAGTTTAGGAGACTTCTTAGCCATTTTTCAACAGTGAAACACACAAATATTCCAATCTTGCCATGAAATACCAAATAGCCTCCAGAAACCCCAAGCCAGCATAGCCAGTGACAAGGAATACTGGAAGCGGAAAGTCCAGATCACCTGGACCTTCTGCCCACTCCTGCTTAACAAGATACTTAGCAATACACTGTACACTAGGGCTGTGGCCTGCCATACGCTCCATTACCTGTGGAGAGTAAAAATTGCCAACTAAGTGGCTAAGCCAATTCCTGACTCTGTGGGGAGATCCACAACATGCAATGTCACATCACTATTCCACATTTCGTAAATGACTATGACAACTGTATCCATGGCTCTCTCCTTCTTTCATCTAGCCTGAAATATACAATGGCTCATGAACATGAAAACTAGAGAAAAAAACAAGAACCTCATGAGCGTGTTTCCAATAGTACAGCCATTAGGCTATGCACTATAAAGATTGCACATGCGGCTTTCTCTGTCTTTCAGCTTTAAATCAGAGAGGGAGGGAGGTGAGATAGAAATCTGCGTTAAGGCCACTCTGTGGAAATGCCTGTGGTTTATACCTTGGGAGAAGAGCACTACTACGGGTGGCACGGCTGCATGTCTCTGCTGCTCAGCCATGTTGAACTTTTTGGCTTATACTTTGTCCAAATTGGAAAACAAGGCTGGGAACCTTGAGCTCCCTATTCTACTTTGCTCCCTTTAAACCAAAATGTGTCATTTTGTAGCTCATATAAATGAGTACCTAAAAAGATCAAAGAATGTCAAGAATGAAGGAGACAGAGGGGAGAAAATAGGCATAATCATTGACATCAGTGGACCTCTAGTCATGAAATCAATAGGAATGTAAGTCCCTTTCATTCCAATGGGTCTACCCTAAGTATTATTTAACTCTACATCCAATCCAAAAACATTAAACCCTCTTTTCTCTTGTTATCTTTTTCCTGTCTCTTGTCTTACAAGATTTGAACACCCAAACATGGCTTTTTTTTTAAGGAAAGCTGGCCCAGCCAATACCATTAATAAATGAATGAAGCACCTGCAGTATGCCAAAGGCTGTAACAGATACAAGTGATTCTAGAAAGCTTATGCTAGAATGGTACAAGGCAGTTATAAACTGATAGCTAAGGGGTCCCTAAATTTTTGAACCCATGAGCACATTTGGAAATCTGAGAAACTGCTGTGGGCACCACACAAACTGCCAGGCCAGTGGATCACCAATTTGGCGTCTACTTGTGATGCCAATGGATTTTAGGCTGCATCACAAATTTTGATTTTTGTCTATCAGATGCCACGTTTCTTCAGCAGGGGACTGTTCAATTTGGTGACAATGCGATACAGCTAAGCCTTTTAAAATAAATATGTTTGGCAATGTTCCACAGCTACATCTTGCTGAGGGGATGTTATTACAGAGATAAATTTTGTACTGGAACACTCTAATATTCCCTGATGTACATGGTCTTTTAAATTATTTAACTCATGGAGATTAATAAATGGCCAAAACAAATGAACTTGAGAGATAGCTATTACAAAACTGGAAGGATAAATACCCACCTCTTACAATGTAGTGAATTATGGATTTTTTAACACTTTCAGTATCTGAACAGCTGGCATGTAACAAACCTTAGTGGAATTGAGGCCCATTTAAGATTCCGTATAGTTGCTAGAAAGCTGCATATATTTCACATGTATTCATACAAATCCATGTACATACATAAAAAGACATGTAGTACCTGTGGGCCCCATGCTGGAGGCACTCAGTTATGAGACTCAATGGAACATGCTTACAAAGAGTGTGAGATAAGATTAGAAGAGGAACAAGTTATATTCTGCAATTCTACCAAACCATGATAATCCTATTTTTCTGTATTGATGCGTTTTATCTTTTATTTTGAATTTCAGTATATAGAAATTATTCTTTTTTAAACACTGGATATTTTTTGAAATGTTTATATCTAAATATTTAACTATTTTACAAATATTAACTTGAAATTTAATCTTAACTCCCTCTTTCTCTTATTAGTTAAACATCATCATTTTGGATTTATCCCAATTAACTTGTAGACCCGTTATCTCTCCAAATTCTGCTAAATTAATTTTAATCTAATCCATAACTTTGGGTGGGTTCTTAATTGTTAGTAATATCTCATCAGCAAATAAACTAATCTTAATTTTGTTCTTAAATCCAATACCTTTTATAGTATCATCATTTCTTATACTATTTGCTAATAATTCTATAACTAAAGCAAACAATATCAGAGAAAGAGGGCATCCTTGTCTAGTACCTCGGCCTAAGGGTATTTGTTCTGTTAAACTATCATTAACTATCACCACTGCAACATTTTCTGAATATAGTTGATTTATTATACCTTGAAATAATGAACCAAATCCTAACATCTCTATCAACATATTTATTGTGGGCCATTCCACACAATCAAAAGCCTTAACAAATTGCATCTTAAGTGATCTTATGCAAGCTATTCATTCTCTGCTGTAGAGTACCACCTGCAATATGGGGATAATAAAACTAACCTATTTTACATGGATAACAAGACTATGTATATAAAGTATTTGAATAATGAAAGCACTATACAAATACTCATTATTGATGATTAAATGCCAAATAGTACTCAATCATTATTTTAACTTAATTAGGGTTCTCCTGCCATGCCCATATATATGGAACCACTTGCAATTCTGAGGTTCTACGTACTACATTCTTTTAACTACAACTGAGAAGATTTCATCTTACCTGGCAAACCCTAAGCAAGGTCTGGACCAAAAGGGTATTCTGTGGAACTCCTAGTCTCACCACAGCAAGCATGCTCTGTGCCACATCATCAGGCCACATGTATTTGGCTTCGTTCATCAAGCGCTGACAGAGTAGACTAAACTGAGGATGTTGAAACATCAGCTTTCTCTCATAAAATCTCTGGTCTTCTGAGAGTTTTTTTGTAAGTATCCACATACTGACAATGCAATTACTGCTATGTTTCAGAGAGAATGGATGTTTCTTAATGAGGTCAAGTACGTCACAGGGAGATAGACACTTTCTGAGGTCATTAAAAAACAGTTGGTCTGGGCTCATTTCAACTTCTTCTTTAACAGCACTTTGGTCTTCATTTGGGGAGACAGAGAAATCAGATGGAAGTTGGGTGGGTTTAATAAGCACTGGTTCAGGGCCCTGCGCATGTTCTTCTAATAGTTCTTTAGTAGCCTTCTGTTTATCTGCATTGGCTTCCTCTACATTACAAGGGAGGATATCTTCAGAAAAAAACCGAACAAATGATTGATGCCCAGGAGAAGAAACATACCACAGGAATTGGCAGGGGTAAATACTTTTCACAGCATTTACAGGTCTACTGATTCCAAATGCAAGCACAGGCACTGCAGTTCTAGAAGAAGATCCCCATGCATAATGGCAGGCTTGTAACTTTCTCACTGTCCTTATTAAAAAATCCAGTTTCCTATTCATTTTGCGGTTAGCACTTTACACCGAGGCATTCATGAAAAAACAGCTTCCAAAAAGCTCTTGGAACATAAAATAAGCAGACCAGAACAGGGTCACATAGGTTACCTGTTAAATTATTTGAAATGGCAATTCCATTAACATTATGCATACACTTGTAACTTTATATGTAAATATACAAGCATATGTTTGACACTGAGTAACTGGAACAGATCAGTCTAAGAAACACACTTTATAGTGAAATCAAATATTAACAGGTTGAATCTATTTCCCAACACAGAGCAATGTCCTAACTATAAGTATTGACATGATCAAGGGAGAACAGAAAACTGGCAGGAAGACTGAGCTTACTTGGGCCCAGACCTCACAAATTAATTACATTTCTATACCATCCATAGCTGATACCCTCTGGGTGGTTTACAACAAAGTATAAAAACAATAAAATACAATAGATAAAAACATTAAGAATTACAAATTAATTTAAAACATATAGAACTTTAAACTTTAAAAGACAATCAAGAGAAAAATGACCTGGCTAATTGTATTGGGCCCCTGAATGACGAGGAAGATCTTTAAAGGCCTCTGAAAAGATGACTGTCTTAACCTGGCACCAAAAAGACAGCAAATTTGGCTTAAAATAGGCCGCAGCAGGGAGGTTGTTCTAAAGTTGAGGGGTCACCACTGAAAAGGCCCTCCCCCAGTTGTCACCCTCCAAGCCTCTTGAGGGGTTGGAACCCAGAAGAAGACTGCAAAGGCTAAGCATAGAGTCCAAGTAGCTGGGGGTTGGGAGAGGTGCTTCAACAGGTACTGTGGGCTCCAAGTCATGTAGATCAGCACCTTGCATTGAGACTGGAAGCATACAGGCAGCCAATGCAGGGAGGCCAGAACTGCTGCATTCTGCACCAGCTGCAGCTTTAGAACTGTGTTAGATATACACGCATACACGACTAGATGCAGATGAACTAATTTCAACACCCTGGGAATGTTGTCAGGAAGCCTCAGTCATGTTTTAGTCAATTCTGTATAAAATGGCATGTGGTGGTGAAGTAGGTGTTTCTTGTTGTGCTACGTAACTCCTCAGTAAATTGATATTTTTAATAATATTAAGTTAATTATTGCTGCATAATATGAACTCAGGCTAACCCTTCTTTCAGTTTTCTCTTTCTCCATCTTTTGACAGTGTTGTACATTAAAATATCCAACTTAAAGGTTCACAACAACAGGAAACGTGTGACATGTTCTCTTTCATAAACTTTGGGGTCAGCTAATGAAATTGATTTGGCAGTAGAATCATAATGATAAAAATGGAAATCCTTCACACAGCTCATAACTGACTTATACAATTTGCTGCAGCAAAATGAAGTGACAGTCAACAGCTTAGCCTGTTTAATGGGGATTAGACAAATCTACAGATAATAGATCTGGCAAGGATTGTGGGAGCTGGCTAATGAGGCTTTTATTTCTCCATTGTCCAGCCTCGTTTACGGAGGCTTATGGCATATATTGACATCATCTTTTACTCATACCACCTCCTTCCATTCTCTCACTACATAAAAAGAATTAAGGAGAAAAAGATGTGAGGGTGTGGAATGTGCAGTGCCTTCTAGTTACTAGCATTAGGAACTCTCTGCCTGGAGGTCATTTACCAGTTGCGGTGAAATCTCCATGCTGAAGCCATGTGGCTCTACTTCTGGAGGGAGTCCGGTGGAGCGGGGGTTCTAAGAGTCCCAGAAACTGTAGCTGATCACTGTTATAAACAGGATGTTGGCTCTTTGGTTAGATCGAGTAAGTCAGCCTTCCCCAAGCTAGTGCCCTCCAAAATTTTTGAATATAATTTCCATCATTCCCGACTACCACATATGCTCGATAGGGTGTCAGGTTGGGAAAGACCGCAGTACGACTTCTAGTACGTGAATCGCACAAAAAGGCGACTTGAACAGCGATCCCACAGAACAGTTCTCGGAAGAAGGTGACGAAGGGACGAGAAGCCCTTACACCTCCATGGGAACCATGCAGGGTCCCCGCAAATGCGCGCCCCTCGCTCCATGCGCCCAGGTCACCTACCGGCCACTCTCCTCGTGCAGCCAAGCCTCAGGGGCCGCCATTACGAGACTGGCACGTGACCCATGCGACGGAAACACTTCAGTCATAGTATGGGTGCCTGCAAGGGGCAAAATACCTCGCTTCTTGTTTACGCAGCGTGCGCTGGGTTGCATAGCAACCGTCCCTGAGCAGCTCTTTCGCGAGAGAGGACGTGGGCGCGGCCGGGCAGATTTGATGGCCAAGTTCGTGCTGGCAGGTGAGGCGCAGGTGCCGTTCAGGAACTCTTCACGCACCCTCCAAATCTCAGTTTGTCGAGCTTCGTGGGGCTGGTCCACAGTGCTCTGGAGTATATGTAGAGCTCCCTCCCCTTGCTCTCCTTCATGGATCACTGCTTTGTCGTAGCGAAGGGGCTTGCGTAGCTCAATGAAACTATGAGCTATGCCGTGCAGGGCCACCCAAGACGGACAGGTCATAGCAGAGAGCTCTGACAAAACGTGATCCACTGGAGAAGGAAATGGCAGCCCACTCTAGAATCTTTGCCATGAAAACCCCATGGACAGTACCAAAAGGCAAAAAGATATGACCCCGGAAGATGAGCCCATCAGGTCGGAAGGTGTCCAATATGCTACTGGGGAAGAGCAGAGAGCTAGTACTAGTAGCGCCAGAAAGAATGAAGCAACTGGATCAAAGCCGAAAGGACACTCAGTTGCAGATGTATATAGTGGTGAAAGGAGAGTCCGATGCTGTAAAGGTCTATACTCCATAAGAACCTGGAATGTAAGATCCATGAATCAAGGCAAGCTGGATGTGGTCAAACAAGAGATGACAAGACTGAACATCGACATCTAAGGAATAAGTGAACTAAAATGGACAGGAATGGGTGAATTTAATTCAGATGACCATCAGGTATACTACTGTAGGCAAGAATCCCTTAGAAGAAATGGAGTAGCCTTCATAGTCAGTAAAAGAGTAGGAAAAGCAGTACTGGGATACAATCTCCAAAATGACAGAATGATCTCAGTTCAAATCCAAGGCAAACCATTCAACATCACAGTAGTCCAAGTCTATGCCCCAACCACTGGTATTGAAGAGGCTGAAGTTGACCGGTTCTATGAAGGCCTACAACAACTTCTAGAAGTAACACCAAAAAATTATGTCCTTATCAACATGGGGGATTGGAATGCTAAAGTAGGAAGCCAAAAGATCACTGGAATAACAGGCAAGTTTGGCCTTGGAGTACAAAATGAAGCAGGGCACAGGCTGGTAGAATTTTGTCAAGAGAATATGATGGTCATAGCAAACACTCTTTTCCAACAACCCAAGAGATGACTCTACACATGGACATCACCAGATGGTCAACACAGAAATCAGATTGACTATGTGTTCTGCAGCCAAAGATGGAGAAGCTCTATACAGTCAGTAAAAACTAGACCAGGAGCTGACTGTGGCTCAGATCAAGAGTTTCTTCTTGCCAAATTTAGGCTTCAATTGAAGAAAGTAGGAAAAAGCATTAGGCCACTCAGGTATGAGTTAAATCATATCTCTGATGAATATACAGTAGAGGTGACAAATAGATTTAAGGAATTAGATCTGATAGAGTGCCTGGAGAACTATGGACGGAGGTTTGCAACATTGTGCAAGAGGTAACAACTAAAACCATCCCAAAGAAAAAGAAATGCAAGAAAGCAAAGTGGCTGTCTAAGGAAGCTTTACAAATAGCTGAGGAAAGAAGGGAAGTGAAAGGCAAAGGAGAAAAGGAAAGATACACCCAAGTGAATGCAGAATTCCAGAGAATAGCTAGAAGAGATAAGAAGGCCTTCTTAAATGAACAGTGCAAAGAAATAGAAGAAAACAATAGAATAGGGAGGACCAGAGATCTCTTCAAGAAAATTGGAGCTATGAAGGGAACATTTCATGCAAAGATGGGCATGATAAAGGACCAAAACGGCAGGGACCTAACAGAGGCAGAAGAGATTAAGAAGAGATGGCAAGATTGCACAGAGGAACTATACAAGAGAGAGCTTAACATCCCTGATAACCACGATGGGGTGGTCACTGACCTGAAGCCAGACATCCTGGAATGTGATGTCAAATGGGCCTTAGGAAGTCTGAACAACAACAAAGCTAGTGGAGATGACAGTATTCCAGCTGAACTATTCAAAATCTTAAAAGACAATGCAGTAAAAGTGCTACACTCAATATACCAGCGAATTTGGAAAACTCAAGAGTGGCCACAGGATTGGAAAAGGTCAGTTTACATTCCGATCCCAAAGAAGGGCAATGCCAAAGAATGTTCAGACTACCGCACCATTGCACTCATTTCACATGCTAGCAAAGTTATGCTCAAAATCCTACAAACTAGGCTCCAGCAGTATGTGGACTGAGAACTACCAGAAGTACAGGCAGGGTTTCGAAGGGGCAAAGCAACTAGAGATCAAACTGCCAACATATGCTGGATCATGGAGAAAGCTTGGGAGTCCCAGAAAAACATCTACTTCTGCTTCATTGACTATGCTAAAGCCTTTGTGTGGATCACAACAAATTGTGGCAAGTTCTTAAAGAGATGGGAGTAGCAGTCCATCTTATTTATCTCTTGAGAAACCTATATGCAGGTCAAGAAGCAAGAGTGAGAACCGGACATGGAACCACAGATTGGTTCAAAATTGAGAAAGGAGTTTGGCAAGGCTGTATGCTATCACCCTGCCTATTTAACTTATATGCAGAGCACATCATGAGAAAGGTGGGGCTAGATGAATCACCAGTTGGAATTAAGATTGCTGGGAGAAATATCAACAACCTCAGATATGCAGATGATACCACTCTCATGGCAGAAAGTGAAGAGGAACTAAAGAGCCTCTTGATGCGGGTGAAGGAGGAGAGCTCAAAAGTTGGCTTGAAACTCAACATTAAGTAAACTAAGATCATGGTATCCAGTCCTCTCACTTCCTGGCAAATAGATGTGGAAGAAATGGAGGTAGTGACAGATTTTATTTTCCTGGGCTCCAAGGTCACTGCAGATGGGGACTGCAGCCAAGAAATTAAAAGACGCTTGCTCCTGGGGAGGAAAGCTATGGCAAATGTAGACAGCATTCTAAAAAGCAGAGACATCACCCTGCCAACAAAAGTGTTTATAGTCAAGGCTATGGTTTTCCTAGTTGCAATGTATGGCTGTGAAAGCTGGACCATAGGGAAGGCTGAGTGGCAAAGGATTGAGGCCTTTGAATTGTGGTGCTGGAGGAGTCTCCTGCGAGTTTCCTGGACCACAAGGCCAGATAGTGAAGATGAAACTCAAACCCTTTGACCACCTAATGAGAAGGAAGGACTCCCTGGAGAAGAGCCTAATGCTGGGAACAATAGATGGCAAAAGAAGAAGGGGAAGGCAGAGAATGAGCTGGCTAGATGGAGTCACTGAAGAAGTTGGTGTGAACTTGAGTGGACTCTGGGGGATGGTGGAGGAAAGGAAGGCCTGGAGGAATGTTGTCCATGGGGTTGCAATGGGTCGGACACGACTTCATGACTAACAACAACTCCCCTTGCTAAATATCTTGAATTTGAAAGGGAGATGAAATTCCTGATTCATTTGGGGAAGGGAGGGTTGTTTCAGCAGCTCTGATCATAGCAATAAAATCAAATTGTTATTTCGTTTAATTTAAAGTATTTGAATGCCACTCTTTAGCCCTTGCAGTCTGAAAAGACACAACACACAAGGCAAGGTGATGGGGTGGGAAAAGGAAAAAATAGATATGAGTAGGGCTGGTAGAATGGCCTTTCTTCACCTCTTATCTACTAGTGAAGGCAGCAAAGCTGGAGCAGACCCCTGTGATTCTGACTCATCCTGTTTTTTTCTCCCTCTCCATGCATTGAATACTGTTAATGACAGTATAAGATCCTCCTGTACTAATGACTTGCATAGGGCAACAGTGGCATTTGCTACAATAAAACCACTAACTTCTGTTTGCTGCACAAACATATCTCAGTCCATGTTATTGGACACCTACCATCTTTTGAGTTTACAGCACATAACAAGAGCCTTGCTGGATTAGACTGTGCAGACATTCAAACAGAGGACTGCTAATTCTACCAATTAGAAAGCATTGTGCAGCTCGTCTACCTTTCCTTCCCTAATGGACTTTATCTGGTAAGAAAAGGCTGGCAGAAGCCATGAGAAATGCAAGGAAATGACAATAGGGGATATTTTCTGGACCCTTACAAAATTCTGTGAAGCTGTTATGATCACTCTTTCCTTTCCGTCGGAAGAGAAAAATATTCCAGGCATGCAGAGAGTTCTTTTTAAAACTTTATTGCAATGAAGGGAACAGAAAGGAATGGTTTCCCTTCCCATTTTCCTATTCACCTGAGCACATGCTTGCCTCCCCCTTTTGAACCCTGCTCCCGGTCGCTTCTTCCCTCCTCCTTTCCCCCCACTGGCTGGGGTACCAGGAGTTTACAATCTTTCTGCTCACCTACTCTGCACTACTCCAACACCGGCCCTTCTTCCCAATCCAGCCCTGCCCCCAGTGGACTACAGTAGGCTCATTTTGTTCTGCCCAGCTTGTCAGTAAACAATCAGGAAGTATTTTGGCCCTCCTGCCTACGTGCCTGTTTTCCCATACCTTGTGCTATCTGATTTTAGCCCCTCCCCTCCTTTGGGCTAAGTAATTTTCTTTGTTACCTTTTCAAATCTCTCTACACTCTTGTTTCAAATCATCCTTTCACCTATCAAAGCCAAGGCAATGGCATAATAAAAGCTTCTTAAAAGAACATCCTTCAAAAATTTGCCTTTTAATGCAATGTATATCAATGGTTATCACTACATCTTATTGTAGGAAATTGCATGATGTAGTTCAACAACACATCCCATGGTGGAGCATAGATGCTGCATTGTTGCTCTGTCCTGATTATCACCCTTTTTTGCACTAAGCATTTTTAAAATGTTAGCTAGAATCCTTTGCTATCACACTCATGAATGTGTATATATTTTTCATTAACCATTTAATTTTCAGGTAGGGCAGACTGCCCCTACTATGCTAAAGCAGAACTCCTAGCTGACTACCTGGAGAAAAAATTGCCTAACTTCAGGATACACAAGATTACTCAACATCCTGATAACTGGGAGGTAAAAGATTTCAATCTGGTTTAGTACTTCAGGGATTCCCAAAGGAATAACCTTCAGAAGCATCTTTTCAGGTGGCCGAAGAGACTTTTGATGAAAACCTCTATACTGAGTGCATGGTCCTTTGGATCCTGACCACTGGACTTGATTGCTTATATAATTGTTTTAGGTCAAATATCAGGTATGTGGAAGCACAAGAAATGAGGTGTGGGGGAATCAGCAATGACTTTTTATTTCTCTAGTACACAAACTGGATCGTTATGCATATAAGTGGAGAAGCACAGGCATACAGCTAATATGAGCATAGCACCTATATTGACCCTTGCAGGGATAACTTTGCCTTCCTTTTCCCTGCTTTGCCTTGCTTTCTTTTGAAAGAATTCTAACTCAGCCTTCGCAGGGTTGGGAGATCTAGGAGCTGCTGAGCAAAAAAAAAAAAAAAAAGTGTCAAATATTGTTCACTACTGGGTACATCTGTATATTTATCAAGTGTGCTTCTACTGATGTGCCACTGAAAGGCCTGATGGCTAAAGAACTCCTCCCGACACTCACTTCACCCTCTAGTGAGAAGTGTCAGAATCTAAGATATTTATAAATCTGTCACAGGAATAAGTTCAGCCTTTGTTTTTCTGCTAAAAGACAAACATTGTGCTAGTAGTTACTGGGCCACACTGATTCCCTCACATATTCAGCCACAAGAATCTTCCTTATTGCAGTTTCCATTTCTACTGTGCTTACTTAGATATAGGAGTGTATTACAATTGCCACTGAACTGAAAACCTTTTCCTAAAGCATCCTAACTACCACTATCTGAATGACGACATGACAGATCAAGATCTCAGTTCCAACCTTGGAAATACATTTTCTAGTTGGCTCTGGACTCTAACCACAGAGTACCTTCCCTCTTCTTTGTAGCTGGCATGATTCTTTAGATGCTGGTGCAGAAACAGATCATTCCAGGGAGAAGGGAGGAGTTAGGCTCTACCAGGATGAAAGGAATGCTTAGTCTCTCCTCCTTGTGAGCAGGGGCTAAATATATAATTGGCCCAAATACTGATCTCCCTTTCTCAAGGGCAAGCTCTTTGTAAATCAGGTTCTTCCTTGTGTGAGTATGACTCACTGGTAGACCACATGCTTTGCAAGCAGAAGGTCTTGAGTTCAATCCCCAGCATCTCCAGGTAGGGCTCCAAAAATTGCTCTCTGAAATCCCAGAGAGCTAATTTTTGCCATTCAGTGTTGACAATACTGAATGGTCTCACTCAGTATAAAGCACCTTCCTATGTTTCTATGCGTTTTGCAACATTTTGAAGATCAACTTATACTGTACAACTGGTGCAAGTGTGATCTTGATTGAAGTTTGCTGGCAGGGAAGACGTGCATGATCACAGGCGCCGAGTGGGGAGATGGCTGCAATCATGCTGGGGGGTGGGGGGAGATGGCCGAGATGGCGCCTGTCTCTCCCTCCCCCAGCGTGCCCTGTTCGCACCCGTCTCTCCCTCCCCCGTCTCTCCCTCCCCCAGCGCGCCCTGTTCACACCCATCTCTCTCTCCCCCAGTGCACCCGCGATTGCACCCATCTCTCCCCCCACCAGCGCACCGGGATGACAGGCATGTGCAGAGATGACGGGCGCGATCTCGGTCGTGCTGGGGGCGGGGGGAGATGGCCATGATCTTTGTTGTTCTTTGTTACTTTACTTCACATTTTTTTGATTCAAAAAATGGTTACAGAACAGATTAACCTTATTTACATTGACCCTTATGGAGAAATTTAACTTGGATCATGACCAATTCGGGTCACGACCAGCGTCCTAGAATGGTTTAAGTTCGTGAGCCAAGGTACCACTGTACTGAGACCTTAGTTAAATATGAAGCGAAAGAGTTTAGATGTATCATCTTGGGAAACTGAAGCACTGCCTTGAACATTACCTTGACAGCTCTTTCAGGATTCACTATACATTAACATTACATGTCATGCTTCATTTGGGGGTTTTTGCTTTTAGACATGGTTGCAGGAGATCTGTGAGAAAAATGGATGGAAACATACGCACTCTCCAATTATTTGGAGGGAATTGTTAGACCGGGGAGGAAAGGGCCTTCTTCTCGGAGGATACAATGATTTCCAAGAACATGCTCAGGTAAACATTTGCCTTCAGGATTTTCTGTGTTTCTTCTTTCCTTATTATTTGTCTTGTCTTCACAGTTAGCTTGTTTTCAGCATCTGTTCAGGATCTCAACAAAAGTCTGCAATCAGAAAATTTACTTATTAAGGTTAAGGGTGTGGGAATGTAAGTAATTTGGTGATGAGGAAATTTTTCCTAACTGTAGGAATTGCAGAATTCAGAAGCTGGATAATTAAAATCTAAAGAAGCCTGCACTGGAAAGGCCTGGCCTAGATCACAGATAGGAGCATGGATTAGGGGTTTCTGACTACTAGTGGGTTTTTTTAGGGCTTGTTATTATGTTTTAGATTTATGTACCACCTTTTCTTTTCTTTGTTTAAGAACTCAGAGCAGCTTACATCATTCTCCTCCAATTCTTCTCCACTCAGTTAGCTGGTAGAAATCATGAGGAACTATAAGAATTGAAATAGAAAATAGATTAGATCATATATAATCATCCTGGATGTATTGCATGTACAAATCAGAAACCAAATGAATACAATAGATATCCATGCACAGGATTTGAGGCATTGTGAAATTAACTAAAACTTCCACTTAGTGTCTAAACAGATGTTGTCGTTCATGGAAGGCCTGGTGTGTGTTGGGGTGTGTTTGGACCTGAATGAACTAGGATTCAAGGGAACTCTTGTAGTTGGGACCAGGTGAATTGGAGTCCTCTGACTTTCTGAAAAGCAGAAGTAAAAAAGGCAAAGGAGAGGTCAGTTGCTATTCAAGGAGAGAAAATTGCTCACAACAGCTCACCCCTAGCCATGGAGAGTGTGCAATAGCTGTTCCTTGCACCAAATCAGCATGGTGAAAAGGGAGATTCTAGGGAGGCTGGAACAGTTAACTTCAGAATACTCATGCCAGTTTCCAGTGCCTTGTATGGCATGTCCTCTTCATTCGTATTTCCTGTTTAAGCTGTTGGTTCACAGAGACAATAAATGACCTTTTACCCAAAAGCTGCTTCCAACAGAATGAATTTACACGTACAGGAAAAGCAGGTCAAAGAGTGGAGATTACCACTTGTAGGGAAAGGACCTCCAGAAAGTATAGCAGAATTGAAAGATAGCTTTGCTAGGATCCATGGTATTGTCTTGAAGGTGCCAATCACAGGAGAGGCGAGGGCCAGGGCACGGCCGCCCACCACCACTGGGAAGACACGGCGGTGGGTGATTGTTGTTGGGGACTCCCTGCTGAGGGGCACTGAGGCGGCAGTGTGCCGCCCCAACCTGGAGACAAGGGAGGTTTGCTGCCTGCAGGGTGCATGCATCCGGCATGTGAAGGACAGAGTGGAGTGTCTTGTTCGCCACCAGCCGCTCCTGGTGATCCATTTGGGCACAAACAACATGGCCAGGCAGGGTGTGGTCGGGATCACCAGGGACTTCGAGGCCTTGGGGAAGAAACTCAGGGAGCTAAAGGCCCAAGTGGCCTTCTCGTCAATCTTTTTTTTTTTTATAAATTTTTAATTAAAATTTTAAACTAACACTAAAAACATCAAACATCACATACATCGGATTTACTGGGTCAACCTCCTACTACATATTTTTTAACATTCTAAAGTCAAATTCAAATCAATTTATAATAATTTAAAAACATCTCTAAGTTTACGCCAAGTCCCGTTTCTCCAGCCAATTATAGAAAGAATCCCAAGTTCAATAGAAGTCAGTATCCTCTTTCTCCTTCAATGATAAAGTCAATCTATCCATTTCTGCGCAGTCCAAGATCTTGCTTACAATCAATCCATCGGTGGGCAGCTGCTCACTTTTCCAATATTGAGCAAATGCAATCCTCGCCACTGTAATTAGGTGCAGCATCAGATACATTTTCTGTCTGTTAACGTCTTCTGGTATGATACCTAACAAGAAAACTTCGGGTTTAAAAGCAAAGGGTTTTTGTAATATTTCCTTCATCTATGTATTTTAATCCAATATTTTTTTGCCTTATCACAAGTCCACCACATATGATAAAAAGTACCCACTTTATGTTTACATTTCCAACATCTATTTGACATATTTGGAAACATCTTAGCTAATCGACTTGGTGACAAATACCATCTATAGAACATTTTATATAAATTTTCTTTATACGAAGTTGCTAATGTTATCTTAATGTTTCTTTCTCATAGTTTTTGCCACTTTTCTAGTTCAACATTAAATCCAAAGTTTTGTGCCCATGTTATCATAGTTTCCTTAACCTGTTCCCCTTCCATTTTCCTGTCTAGTAAAAAATCTTATAGTCTTTTGATAATTTTCTCATCTGTTTTAAGCATCACTTGATCAAACTCTGTTAGGTCTTTGTAGAACCCCCATGCTTTACAGCCTTTAGCATATCTCAATTGCATCTGCACCTTATACCACCAGGAAATATTAAGTCCCTGTTCTTGTATTTCTTGCTCCAGTTTCAGGCCACTGTCCTTATCCAAGATATCATCATATCTTATGATCTTTTCAAAGTTCAATACATTTGGATATACAAAAGCTTCCATAGGTGAAAGCCATCTTGGTAATTTATTATACAGTTTTAGCTTTACTTTTTCCCAGACTGACTTTAAAGATCTTCTAATAAAGTGACTCAGAAAAGATCCATGTGACTTAGCTTTTTCATACCACATATAAGCATGCCAACCCATCTGCAAGTCATGACCTTCAAGATACAAAATTCTCTTATTTCGCAAAGTTATCCATTCTTTTAGCCACATTAACACAGACGCGTGATAATACAACATCCAATTGGGAACACCAAAACCTCCATTCCTTTTAGCTTCCTGAAGCATTTTTAATTTAATCCTTGGTTTCTTTTTTTTCCAGATAAATCTCGAGATTTGAAAATTTAGGTCATCAAAGAATTATTTATCAATTTTTACAGGAATCATTTGAAATAGAAACAGAAGTTTAGGTAATATATTCATTTTAACAAGTGCTGTTCTTCCCATCAAAGATAATTGTAAATTGGCCCATTTTTCCAAATCACCTTTAATATCCTTCAATAATTTATCATAATTATCTTCTTTCAAAGTGGCACATTTAGCTGTAAGAGAGATTCCCAAGTATTTAACCTTCTTAGCAATCTGCAAATCTACTTGTTCCTGGAGCCTTTCTTTTTGTTCTCACGTAAGGTTTTTAACTAACAGTTTCGTTTTTTCTCTATTTATTTTCATTCCCATAACTTCACCATATTCTTCAATCCATTGCAAAAGTTTAGGCATTGTTACAAAAGACCATTATAAAGACCAAATCATCTGTGAATGCTTGCAATTTATAACTTTCATCCCTAATTCTAGTGCCTTTGATGTCCTCATCATCCCTAACACTTCTATTCAGTACCTCTAAAATCAAAATAAACAGGAGGGGTGACAACGGACAACCTTGTCTTGTGCCCTTTTGAATCTCTATAGGGTTTGAAAGTTCTCCATTAATTAAGATCCTGGCCGACTGTTTTTGATAAATACTTGATATCGCATTCATAAATTTTTCACTTGAATCCAAGTGAAAGTTCCATTTGAATCATCTGTTGCTTCATAAATTGCCAATTAACATTATCAAAGGTTTTTTGGGCATCCATAAACAGTAAAGCCATTGGTTTTTTGGTATGTATCTCATAATATTCTAAGATACCCAAGGGAGTTCTCAAGTTATTCTTCATTTGTCTTTTTGGCAAAAAGCCATTTTGGTCTGGATGGATAATGTCTATTAATAACTTCTTTAATCTTTCTGCAAGTATAGAAGCAAAAATTTTGTAATCCACATTTAACAATGATATAGGTCGGTAGTTTTGAATCTGTGCTACATCCATATCTTCTTTCGGTATTAATGTGATATTTGCCTCAGTCCAAGTAGTTGGTATTTTAGCATTTAACAATGCTTCATTACATATATATTTTAAGAGTGTAGCAAAAATTGCTTCGAAAGATTTGTAAAACTCGGCTGGCAGACCATCCGGGCCAGGGGTTTTGTCATTCTTCTGCCACTTAATTGCTTCTATTACTTCCGTAATTGTGACTTCTTGATTTAATAGCTTTTGGTATTTTTCTGGTAGTTTCGGTAACTCTTCCTTTCGAATAAATTCTTTAACTTTCTCGATTGAAATCTCCTCCTTCTGATATAACTTTGTAAAAAAGTCTTCCACTATTTTCTTGATTTGTGCACTCTGCACATGTAATCGTCCTTCTCCGTCTTTCAGTTTCACAATCAATCTCTTCTCTTTTTCTTTCTTAACTTTATGTGCTAACCATCTCCCCGGTTTATTAGCATTTTCAAAGAAGCTCTGTTTGGTCAACTTCATTTGTTTAGTAAGCTCATTTGTATCCAAAAGGTTTAACTTATGCTTTAAAATGTCCAATTGAGACTTAAGACTTTGTTTTGATGGGTCTTCCTGCAGCACTTGTTCCAATTTCATCAACTCCTCTATTATCACTGCTCGCTCTTGTTTTTCTTTTTCTTGCTCTTGTTTTTTCTTTTTACTTATATGCGCTGAATATGTTATTATCACTCCCCTGACATAGGCTTTAGCTGTATCCCAGACATTCTGTAAAGAAGTTTCTTCTGGTTTATTTATTTGAAAAAATACTTGCATTTCTTTATTTATCTTTTCTGTAATTTTTTTCTTTTAACAATGTTTTATCTAGGCTTCGTCCTTACAGTTCCTTTTAGTGATAAAAATACCGGGTTATGATCTGCCCAGACATTTGCCTCTATTTCAGCTTCTATCAGATTTGGTACTAAGTCTGGAGTTACCCAAACCATATCAGTTCTGGACCACGACCTATGTCTATTTGAGTAAAAAGAGTATTCGGCAGAAGATGGGTTTTTATGCCTCCAAGCGTCTGTCAGTCTAAATTCCTCAATCATGTTAGAGCAGGACTTTAGGAGTATCCTCCTACCCTTTTTTCCTTTACTAACATTCTTATAATCCATTTCCTTATCCACAATTGCATTGAAATCTCCCATTACACACATAGTCTGGAAATCCACTTG